CACTTGGGTATGTAAGAACCCTAGATTCTATGTTAGGAAGAGTTGTATGAACCCTTTGCCATGAATGATTGATTGATTTATATCCAGTTGAAATACTTATTCAGAATTGCTTGATTCTTGATCAAATTCTAGTGATCCCTACTTTGTCTTAGAAAGATAACCTCTGCATAGGTCAATAGAGCATCTTGAATTGGAAGTAATGAACCAGCTACTTTAGTCGAGAAGTCGATTCACTGCTCTGTACTGGGATATAACCTAGTAGAGGAAGTTTGAATATTATTACCTCGGTTAGCTTACGCCGGTGAAAGTTAGTCGTCCACCGGGTATTCAAACTGAGAGGGTCTGGAGCATTTTAGTCGAGACTCTAGACTGTTTATGAACTTTCCGCAGTTTAAACCTCAATCAACGTGACTTGGGTGAATTAAAACTTGGCGTAACTGCAATCTAAGGGGACCCATACCTGAGTGATCCTTCTTAATCTGAATACAACCGTTCCCTGCTTTCTGTTTATTTTGTTTTTGGAAACTTCACTCAATTTTCCCGCTAGATAATAGATAATCATAGAGTAGGAAGTACATCTAGGCCTCGGGTTGATAAGTAAAATTGATCCACTATACTGCATTTCCAAACTGCGATTACACTTTGTTGTAGTTTGGTTTGTGTTTTAGCGAGTCAAGTTTTGGCATCGTTGCCGGGGATCTCTAGGTTATTGTAAAAACGTGAATATCTGTTACTTTAGCATTTACTTTTCTGCATTTATTTCCTATACATGTTTGCCTTCACGGGTTGTGTCTACAATCTATGTGCATATAGTGCATGATCCATAGCTAGTCGAGAGATCTACATCCGTTAGACCATGAGCTAGAACATCTTGTCATCAGTTTAAGAGAGCACTGAAGGCACGACTGGCTGGAGGAAGCTTTGGCTCAACTGAACATCGCAGGGGAAGGAGAAATGGGTGAGCCAAATAATGGAGCTAGTGATGTGGAAGATCAGTCCGAGCAGCGGACCATGGGATACTACTGAACTGTCAGGGCCGCAGACACGAGGTCAAGAATCCAACACCCTCAAGTTGTTGCCAACAACTTTGAGATGAATACCTCTGTTATCACAATGTTGAGGGTTTGGTGGTTTTCCATAAGAAGACAGGGGAGTGTCCCCGCGCACACCTGGATTGATTCCATGAGCTGATTGATGAGATCAAGATCAATGGGGTCCCTCAAGACGCCATCCAACTATGCTAATTCCCATTTAATTTGGAGGGACAAGCCAAGCTATGGTTGGACAACCAACCTCTAGGGTCAATCACTACATTCACCGACTTGGCTAACAAATTCCTGACCCACTACCATCAACCTTCTAAAACAAGAGACCTGCAGAAGGAGATTACCCATTTTGCCCAAGAGGAGGAAAATACTATCCGGGACGCTTGGGGAGAGATATTAAGGTCTCTTCTTGAAGTGTCCCAACCACGGTTTTAATGATGCCTTCAAAGTGGGTACCTTATATCGATCTCTCTTTCCTGAAGATAAGCAGTTGATCAACTCGGTTTGTGGCGGGAACAAGCTGATTAAGACACCACCGCAGTTGAACCAGCTCTTTGAAGACATAGCTGAGCAGGGTTATGATTGGGGGTCTTCAAGAAGGTCTGGGCGAGCACCGGGCCATGGTGTTCATATTGTGGACATCTAGTCGTCCGACCTGGTGTGGTGACTATTCTGGTCACGTCAATTGATCGGAACGGGATGGTTCCAGGTGCAGGGCAGCATAAGGCAATGTACTACTAGTGGTGTCAGAGTATCAACCACATGGTAGAGGATTGTCGGCGATGAGAGAGTCTACCACAACTCAGGAGTAGTTGAATTTCATCAGCAACGCCAGACGCATAGACCCCTACAACAACACCTACAATGAGGGGTGGTGCGGCACCTGAATTTCTCACGGAATGGCAACAGCAACCCTAATTCACCTGGCTTTCAAGCTCCTGCCGGCGGGCGACCGGACCAGAGACAGTAGTATCAGCCTCGCCCAGTCCAGTTCTAGCGACAACTTCCTTACCAACCCAGACAGGGACAGACTCTCCCTAAGCAACAGCAGAGGCAGTTCCAGCCACCGGGTGCAGCCCCAGTAATCCTGGCACCGGGTGATTCAGTGACTGATTGAGAGACTTAGTAGGAACCTTCTCCAGCTCGTACACCAAGAAGTTCAGCAAGATAGACCAGTTCATGGAAGTGACAACAGGAAGGTTCCTAGAACTTGTAACGGGCCAAAAAAAACACCAAGCTATTTTGCAGGACATTCAGGCCCAGATCGAGAGAATGGCTCAATCTATGACTCACAAAGCCCCGAGTACCTTGCCCGCCACCATAGAGCCCTAGAGGTCGTGAGAATTGACTTGATAACCTGATATTTGGAAATATTTTGCCCACTACTCTTGCAGCGTTTGAGGGTTGATTCTCGTGTTTTAAGCCGATTTCACGCTAGGTTTTGCTTTTATGTCATACTTCAGGACCTGGAGCGGAAATAGAGGCTTGGAAGCGAGTTCAGGTCAAAAGCGGAGAGATGGAGAAAAGTGGAGCTGGAAGGCCAAATATCCAGTCAGGTCACCCAAATACCTGACCAAGTATATTCAGTCGAGACCGGTTAATCACATCAGGCGAACCTAGGAGGCGCCTCGCTCGTGAACCAAAAATACTCGACCGGGTATTTCACCCAGAGGTCGGGTATTTTCCTCCGACAGAGAAGATGATATGCTCTGTTTTGTTTAAATACCCGGTCTGATCCCCTAATACCCGACCGGGTATTCAGAATGGGTATGCCCAGCTCGGGCTGTTACAAGCGGAACACGGGTTTTGGTCTACGGGGGAGTTTGGAAGCTGAAAATAGAAGTTTAGAGAGAGAAAGTGATGAACAAAGACCCTTGAGTGCCATAGATCAAGTTTTCTGATCATTGGAGCTTGTTTCAAGCCTCGATGAGTGACGATTGAAGACCCTGAGCAAATTTCTTCTGTCTATATGATGATTTATACATCCAGTTTAGCTTTCCTCTCTTTCTCTCTATGGAGTAATCCCCCTCTATCACTTGGGTATGTAAGATCCCTAGATTGTATATTAGGAACATTTGTATGAACCCTTTGCCATAAATGATCGATTGATTTATATCCAGTTGAAGTACTTATTCAGAATTGCTTGAGTCTTGATCAAATTCTAGTGATCCATGCTTTGACCTAGAAAGATAATCTCTGCATATGTCAATAGAGCATCTTGAATTGGCATTAGTGAATTGAGAACTTTAGCCGAGAAGTCGATTCACTGCTCTGTACTAGATAGAACCCATTATAGGAAGTTTGAATCTTATTGCCTCGGTTAGCTTACACCGGTAGAGGTTAGTCCCTTCCCAGGTATTCAAACTGAGAGATTTGAAGCACTTTAGTCTAGACTCCATACTGTTTATGAACTTTCCGCAGTTTAAACCTCAATCAACGTGACTTGGGTGAATTACAACTTCGCCTAATTGCAATCTAGGGGGACTCATACCTGAGTGACCCTTCTTAATCTAAATACAACTGTTTCCTGCTTTCTGTTTATTACTTCACTCAATTTTTCCCGCTAGGTAATAGATAATCACGGAGTAGGCGGTACATCTAGTTTAAGTTTTAGTTTAATTTCTGTATGATGGTATTGGGGCTGATTGCCTTCGTTTTTCATTCTCTTCTTTTTGAATCTGAACACTAGCCAGTAGATGTAGTGATGAACATGTTTTATGGTTTTGGATGGTGGGAAATTGGTTGCAGCAGCTTGTTTGCTTGCTGCAACCTATCACTTTTGTTTGAACTATGAAGATCTAAGTGTTGGGTGGTGGGATATGGGTTACAACCCCAGATCTCCCTTTTCTGTTTTGATTTCTATGGCTTGAACAACAAGCTACTTCGAATTTCAGGAATAGTGTTTTAGTCTTTTTTTCAGGTTTTTCCTTCTTTTCTTTTTTGTTATTAGGATCCATGGTGATCCGCAGGTTACCTGGATCCGGTTGGGGATGTGAGGGTAAGCAGATTCCCCCCTTTTAGCTTGCAGGGACGGGGAAATTTGTCATCCTTGAGCCCTTGACGAATGGATAACGGGAGATAATTACCCGTCCCATATTCGTCATGTTGCCACCCCTATCTAGATCCCATGTACAACCTTGTGATCAATAACAGTGCACAACCTACCACATCAGCGCCACATACCATTTATGGAAGGCCTCTAACATTTTCTCTTTTAATTTTTAACGGGCGATTTCTCTCTTATTTTAAGTTGGAATTTACAAGAGAATTATATAATCTCCGGGAAACTCGGAGAAAGGAAATCGCCGCGCTAGGGGTTTGACGAAGCGGAGCCTCTCCCCTTTGGCTGGATGTCGGCATCTGCGCCGGCTCCGGTAGGGAATGGGGAAGACCCCAAACCACCGGACCTCACCTCGGGTACCCGTCGCCCCCCGAAGGTCTCGTCATCCCCGGACGGAAAGAAGGCCCGAGAGGAACAACATCCAAAGAAGCGTGTTCGTGGCCTAATACTAACAGATGAGGGAAGGAACTTAGATGATGTTAGCATCGAAGATATTACTGAGGAGGAAGAGAGGTTGAGGGATTTTGAAGCTGGAACCACAAAAGATGCACCGCAGGGACACACAGCGAGCACAGAGTCGACGCAACCACGTCCGATGGCTTGGGGGGAAGGCAAAAGAAAGTTATTCAGCAAAGCAGTGCAAGAGGTTCAATGGTATGTGGCGGAGTCAGATTCTGAGGACGCCGTCGAGGCCATGAAAGAGGATGATAGCGAGGATCACCTGACTGACGAAGAAAATCCAGTCTGCCCTAACGTGCACTTCACGTCTTATGAGTGGCGCAAGTATAGAAGAGAATGGCGATCGGCGATTGTTGTTAAGGTCCTGGGACGATCGTTTCCCTACCCAGTGATAGCCAATCGCCTTAACATGCTATGGGCCAAATCGGGTATCATACTATTTTGGTGACCATTACATAACAACCAGACCGTGGCAAAAGGGTTTCACTCCAAGGACGAACTCCATTGACTCTACCCTAGTGTGGATTCAGTTTCCCGACCTTCCCATTGAGCTGTATCACCCAGAAGCAGTCCTGAGAATTGCAAGTAAAGTGGGGAAGCCAATACGAGTGGATAGAGCAACGGAGACGGGTGCTAGAGCAAAGTTTGCGCGGGTCTGCATTGAAGCCGACCTTACTAAACCACTTGTGACACAATTCAAAGTGGCCGGTGTGGAATATGACATACAGTATGAAGGCCTCACCAATATTTGTTTCCACTGCGGGAAGTATGGGCATCCCCAGACCCGTTGTCCGGCCCTGCATGCAACTCCTGAAGAACCGAAAACCCCCGATCAATCGAGCCAACGTAAACCAAGACATGAGGAGCCCTATGGAGAATGGATGATAGCCAAGAGGCGAGAAAGGAGGCCGCACCCGCGAAATGAGTCAGTAAATAACTTTAAACAAGGACATAAGATCCGCGAGGGGGATATGAATATGGTTGGTGGGTCACGTTTCGCTGCTCTATATGTGGAAGAGGAGCAAGAGGCGGAAGCTGTAGAGCGTCGAAACATGCTAGAGAGCCAAGGAAACAAGGAAGGGGACAAACAACAGAGGCCTCAAATGTCTAAGCAGGTCTGGGTGGAAAAATTGAGACGAGATGCGGGTGACAGCAATAACTCCCAGAGTATACCAGATCCCCATCGGAACGAGAAGCCTAATTGCGAGGAGGTCCACCCTAGTGCGAATTGTCCCGATGCCACGAATCCTCATCATGCGGCAGGACAAAACGCGATGGGAGCCATGAGAGCAGCTACACCAATTAATAATTACCCAAACTTGGAGCCGAGCACGTCACAACCCCAAACCTATATCTCCAACCAGATGGTGCACGAGAAGCAAGTTGAGGAAATGGGAAGACCGCCCGATAAAAGTAAGAGAAATTCTATGGACACGTTGGCTGAGAATCTCTCCAACAAGTTGGAGCAGCCCATAGATGTTCTCGAGAGACAGAAGGAAGGGGGTGTGAATAACCCGAGTAAAGATACTGAGATGGAGAGCCAGGTAGCAGGGGCTCTCCCAGGCTCTCCGTAGAGCATCACGTCACCGTCACTCCCTACCTGATCTTATGGATTTACGAATTTTTACGTGGAACTGTAGGGGAGCGGGAAGCGATAATTTCCTGCGAATTTTCAGGGAATATCGTCGAAAGCATAAACCCAGTATAGTGGTGATAGTAGAACCTCGCATTAGCGGCGACCGTCGCAGGGAAGTGATCGCGGATATGCGTATGGATGACTCACTTGTAGTTGATGCGATGGGATATTCAGGCGGAATTTGGATTTTGTGGGATACGTCAGTGGTCTCGATTACTGAGTTGGGTCGATCCTCCCAACATTTACATGTTAGAGTCCAGTATGGGATGAAGTTGTGGATGTTCACAGTGGTCTATGGAAACCCTGCCTTGATCCAACGTAGAGAGTTGTGGGCATCCTTGAGGGGCATTGCTGAGGATATTTCTGGGTCGTGGCTTGTGGCGGGAGACTTTAATTCGATTCTACAGCCCTCGGAAAAGGCTGGTGGTGCACCCTTTGACGCCAGCAGAGTACGGGATTTTCAGGACTGCATTACTGATACAGGGTTAATGGATTTGGGGTTCTCGGGCCCGCCATATACATGGTTCCGCGCAGGGGTGAAGGAAAGGCTGGATCGAGGATTGGTAAACAGTGACTGGCACAGTATGTTTCCAGATAGTTCTCTGCAGCATCTTCCAAAGATGAAATCGGACCACCGCCCACTCTTGATTCGTATTACTCCTAACTTTTCTCCAGCTGGTGCGAAGCCATTCAAATTTATGGCAGCATGGCTTTTGCATGAGGAGTTCAGTGAAATGACAGGGCAAGCCTGGCGGCAAGGATCAGACTTATGCAGCGCCATTCAGTGTTTCTCAAATGCCGCCAGCCGTTGGAATCGTTACACCTTTGGTAATATAATTAGGAAGAAGGACTCACTGCTTGCTAAGGTTGAGAGACTGGAGCTTGCAGGGGGTGGGGATTCCGACTCCCCCGTAATGCAACACTGCAGGCAGGAACTTGAAGAGGTACTCTTACAGGAGGAGATTATGTGGTACCAGAAATTACGAACGAAGTGGCTGGGTAAGGGTGATCTAAATACTAAGTACTTCCATACTCGAACAATGCAACGACGTCGAAGGAACCGAATTAATGCTCTACGTGATGCTTTGGGCAACTGGGTAGAGGATGACCAGAACTTGCAGGACATGGCAATAAGCTTCTACAAAACTTTATACACATATGAAGGTGATCCGCTGCTGATCCTTGCTGGAGCTTTTCCGAGCTTACCAGCTGATGCTTGGGCGCATGCTACTGGCTGCTTCACGATGGACGAGATCCACCAGTCGGTACGATGTATGGGGCCACTGAAGGCGTCGGGCCCTGATGGACTCCACCCTATATTCTTTCAAAAGTTCTGGCCTCTAGTTGGTCCTGCCGTCACACAATTTGCTCAGCTTTGTTGGAACGATCCAAGTCAGGTGAAGACGGTGAATGAGACGATCCTTGTTCTCATTCCGAAGGTCAAGCACCCCTCGCTGATTGAACAATACCGACCAATCAGTCTATGCAATGTCTCTTATAAGATATTGACTAAATGCTTGGCCGAGCGGTTGAAGCCTCTGATGCCGAGATTGGTGAATGAAACTCAAACGAGTTTTGTCCCCGGGCGCCACATTACTGATAATATTTGTATTTTGCAGGAGGTTGTTCACTCCATGAGAGCGAAAGCTGGCAGGATAGGGTGGATGGTCCTCAAAGTGGACCTCGCTAAAGCCGACGACAGGATAAAATGGTCTTTCGTACAGATACCCTCAATGCAGCAGGAGCCCCTGCAGATTTTGTAGCCTTGGCAATGCAGTGCATCTCGTCGAGCAGCATGAGGATCTAGTGGAATGGTGGCCTAACTGATACATTCACATCCTCCCGAGGGCTGAGACAGGGGTGCCCACTCTCTCCGTATTTATTCACGCTCTGCATGGAGAGGCCGAGCCATCTGATAACGGCAGCTGTCGATGAGGGATCGTGGCGACCTATAGTACTCTCCAGGGGAGGGCCACCACTATCCCACTCGTTCTTCGCAGATGATTTGATATTGTTTGGTGAAGCTACTATGCAGCAGGTAGAGACAATCAACCATTGCCTGGAGCTCTTTGGGGCAGCTTCGGGTCAACAAGTCAGCAAGCCGAAGTCAAGAGTTTTCTTCTCCAAAAATGTTCGGACTGAACGAGGGGCAGAGATATCCTCGGAACTGGGAATTCCGGAGACGAAGAACCTTGGGAGATACTTGGGAGTTCCGGTAATACATGACCGGGTCTCACGAGCTACCTTCATCGACCTCGTGGACAAGGTGGATAGCCGGCTCTCGGGTTGGAAAGTTAAATCCTTATCTCTTGCTGGTCGCATCATGTTAGCCCAGTCGGTGCTGTCATCCTTGCCAGCCTATACTATGCAAACATCGTTCTTGCCGGCTAGTGTCAGAGAGTACATCGATAGGAAGATTCGAGCTTTCATTTGGGGAAGCTCAGAGGAAGGGCGTAAGACTCACTTGGTGGACTGGAATACGATCTGTCGGCCGAAGGAAGAAGGGGGATTAGGTCTTCGCAATGCTACGAGGATGAATGAAGCCTTCATGATAAAGATTGCTTGGAGATTGACTGCAGAGCCGGATAGTTTATGGGCCAAGGTCATTCGGGCAAAGTATTTGGTGAAAACTATGGATGGGTGGCAGCCGCGAGTTAGTGGTAGGCTCTCCAACCTATGGCGGGGTGTGTTGCGCATTCTCCACCTCCTGCCGCAAGCGCTTATGTGGAACATTCAAAGTGGAGCTCAGACACGGTTCTGGACGGACAGGTGGCTGCAGGATGGGCCAACCTTGGCAGAATTGGCATATCAGCTTCCCCAAGAAGCCCTTGACCTCACGGTTGCTGAGCTGGTCCTTAACGAGAAATGGAATCTCCCTTTCTTGCGAGCTTTCCTAGCGGAGGATGTTATTCATCAGATTAAACTGCACTAGCCACCGCAAAGCCAAGAGGATGACATCCCAATATGGCGGCTGACAGCGGATGGTACTTTCTCCCTCAAGACAGCATACGATCTCACCGATGATCAGGAGCAGCCGTCTGGTAACACAACGGGTCCGAGCCTTTTTCTGGCTTGCGGCGCATAGTCGCTTACTTACTAACCAGGAACGACGAAGACGCCATCTAACAGATTCCGCAGCCTGCCCGATTTGTGATGGGGATGAAGAGACCACCCTCCATGTTATTCGAGATTGCTCTTTCGCTTGGGCAGCGTGGGCAGAAGTTCTAGGTGAAGAACCCGATGAAGTCTTTTTCCAGGAAGACCAGGCAAAATGGATGTTACATTATCTTACAGGGAGGAGCGAACATGTTGACGCCACTAAGTTTGATGTTCTCTGTTGGATGCTTTGGAAGAACCGAAACACTTGTGTCTTTGAGAAGAAGTTGGAGCAGCCAAGCAGTATCTGTCGAAGAGCTGCCGTCCTGCAGAAGCAGATAGTGGAGGCTGCAGCAAAAATGGGGGCGATTTTTGGCGGGCAAAACACCTACTCGCGGGAGCTGATCAGTTGGAAACCTCCTCGCCAGGGGTGGGCCTGCTTGAATACTGATGGGTCGGTAGTGTCGAATCATGCAGCAGCGGGAGGAGTTATTAGAGATGCAGATGGCCGAATGTTGCGCGCCTTCGCTACGAACCTGGGGGAGGGAACTATCACTCGAGATGAGATGGCGGGGTTGGTACGTGGACTTCAAGATTCCTGGGAGATGGGGATCAGGAAATTGATCGTGCAGACGGATTCACAGACGGCTATTCGGCTTATCACGACAGCGGGGCTTCGACACCCACACTCAGCTATGATCCAGGAAGCACGAAGGCTGCTCGCTCAGGAGTGGGAGGTGGAGCTTCTTCATGTCTTTAGAGAGGGTAATGTCGTTGCTGATTACTTGGCGTCCCTAGGCCATGGCCTCCCGCCGGGTGATCACATAATCAATACCCCCTATCATATGCTCTCATATTGGTTGTATTATGACTTGTTAGGGGTTAGTTTACCCCGTTTGATTCCTGATAATATTTAAAGGTTGGAGCGCCCTTTAGCGCTCTGTTTCCCACCCAAAAAAAAGTTGGAATTTAAATGTTTTTGCATAGATAAATCATTTTTATTGTGCTGTTCAAAATGATATCCAATTTGATATATTTTTGTAACCAAAAAAAATAATTGAGACATTTATTACCAGTCTATACCATATGGTATTGATTAATATTAAATAAGAGCATACCATATGGTATGAAAGTGTATCACGGTTAAATACACAATAGTATGAATATACCAACTGTCATTTACGACTTTCAACATTGTGTACCACAAGATACCAAGTTACCAACCATATACTAGGGTGGTATGAGGTGGTATTTTTTGGTCCTGTATTTTTTTCCCATAAATTAGTTGATCCAATAAATTATTATGAACTTGTTCCTTCCGTACAAATATTTTAAAAAAACGACTTAAAAACGAAGGTGTACCATATGGTATGGAGTTGGTATACGAAATTTTTTTTCTAAAAACATATTGAAAATAGATATCATTTTGTAGATCACAACAAACTCGTTCCATCTGCACAAAAAAATTTAAATCCAAATTAAAAGGAAGAAGATAAGAGCTAATTGAGAAAACTAGAGAAACTTAAAAAAAAATCTTTAATTTCCAATCCTTATATCGAGGATTCACTTAAAATGAAGAGATGAGATGTTGTTATGCAAGTTATGCAGGTTATGCAACATAAGATTACTCATCCTGTTCTTAACCAATTTAGTGAAGTTGATCTGTGGCGCTAATTCGCAATCATAGTTATTAGTTAAATTGTTGGTTACTACTGGGCTCTCTACTGACTTTCTCTTCATGTGGTTTTGATTCTTGCTTTGGAAGTCGACATAAACCTATCATGGTGACTGGTGACTTCACTGTCTCATATCATATGCGTAACCTAGCTTCTCACTTCTCGGTCCTCATTTGGTAAAGATAGGAAGCAAACCACTCATCATTTTAAACTCCTAGTTCCTAGCCACTATGAGCTAATAAATTATCAATTATTATCATATTTCTTTTTTCGATAGTAAATTAGAAACAACCAAATCAGTTTATGGATAGCCTTATTATAATGTACCAGTTGATCCAATTGTAAACAACGTTTGTCACCTAATATGTTACACAAATATAATGAAAATTATGCGTTGAATAATTTTTAATGTTTAAAATGGACATGTAATATAAAAAGTTGGACTTTGCTAACATACATGTCACCGTAACTTGCACTTTTAGATCGACTTCATGTAAAATTAGGTTGACCTAATATAGGATTAGGTCGACCTCATATAAGATTAGGTCGATCTAATCTACCGTTTCAGTCTTGAGATAGAAGGCAGCTTACTTCGTAGCAACTTCAAGCCTTTTTTTTTTAAGCCTTCCAGATATCCAATATTTCATCCAATGCCTTGACTTTGTAGACAAACATACCTACTTTCATGTGGTAGAGGCCCCTGGACTCGAATCTCATCCATGCTTATAGAATTGAGCTCCAAAGTAGGCTTCACAAACACTTTACCAGACTTGGCCATTTTCAGGCAGTTTCCTAGTTTTGGTATAGCCTTTTGATCAGGTTAAAAAATGGTCTTCTGGACTTCCTATCGAGCTCCCAAGCACTTCAATGTGTAGATGGACACTCCAACTTCAAAATAAGTCATTAATTCTCAATTTTCATCAAGCCAATTGTAAGATATGAATCTCCAAAGTAGGCACCATGAAACTGTTTTTACACTGAAACAACATATTAGGTCGACCTAATTCTAATTAAGGTCAACCGAAAAGTGCAAGTTACGGTGACATGCATGTCACCATAAGCGCACCCTAAAAAGTTATAAACGATATCAATTGTTATTTATTTTATAATAATAATAATAATAATAATAATAATAAATGTATTATTGATTGAATGATTTCGTAAGCAATGCAAATTACTCGCTTAGAAAAGCCGAAAAAGAAAGGTAGGAGAGGAACCTAATCCATTATATTGACCAAAACTACCACTTCCCCTTTTTTCCCCCTTCTTTCTTTTTTGAGTGGATCACTTGCTTTCTAATAAAGCTTCATCCCATCCATCGCAGTAAACTGGAAAACAAAGAGTCCAATCTTCCCGCATCTCCCGCTCAAAAAGGAAGCGACCCCCAAAAGAAAAGGCCATGCTTTTCTTCTTCTTCTTCTTCCTTCACCTGGCCTTCACTTCTTCCTTCCTCCCGCCATGTCTCGCCTCTAGGCCATCGCCAAAATCAATTACCAATTCCAGCCGCGTGGTGTTCAGGTGCGGAGAACAATCATCACTCAGCTCTTCCAGAAACTTCGAGTACTTCCCCGGGAAGCCGCGGTGGCGGAGGCAGGAGGCCCCGGCGAGGCTTTCGTATGCGTTCTCGCCGGACAACACGATCGACTACCTCTCCCCGTCCGACGTCCGGCGATCCTTCCGCCGCGCCTTCGGGCGCTGGAGCGCGGTGATCCCGGTGAGCTTCGCGGAGGCGGAGGAGTACGGCTACGCCGACATCAAAATCGGGTTCTACAGCGGGGACCACGGCGACGGGGAGCCCTTCGACGGCGTCCTGGGGGTGCTGGCCCACTCTTTCTCGCCGGAGAGCGGGCGGTTCCACCTCGACGCGGCGGAGAGGTGGGCCGTGGATTTTCGAGCGGAGAAGTCAAAGGTTGCTGTTGACTTGGAATCGGTGGCGGTCCATGAGATCGGACACGTGTTGGGCCTGGCCCACTCGTGGGCCCGGGATGCCGTGATGTTTCCGAGCTTGAAGCCCAGGAAGAGGAAAGTGGAGCTCAGCCTCGACGACATACGGGGCGTTCAGGCGCTCTATGGCTCCAACCCCAACTTCACCGTCGGATCTTTGTCCGAGTCCGATATTTCCACGAATCGTGCCGTTGGCGTTGCTTGGCTCGGTTCCTCTCAACGGCTGCGATTGCTTGCTCTCTGCTCTTCCTTTCTGTTGCTTTCTCTGCAACTATAATATTGTGAGTTTGTGACTCGTCATCATATCATTCAGCAGATTTCTTTTGTTCTTTCTCAATTTTTTGGAAGCATAGATAATTTGAAAGGTATACCGACCGACGTAACTGGAAACTCAGTTGTGTGGCCAACAAAGATTGTAGATGATTTTTCATCAAATGAAGAAAAAAAATTAATATTGTAAATGAACAATCGTTTCTTTTTTTATTTATTATCTCTAATTACTATTTAAATTCTACTAGATTATAACAACTCCTTTTTACTATCTGACCAACCAAGCTATAGAAACTTTATTGTTATGCAATGTATACCTCTTACCACGATATTTACAGTGATAAAATCATTCTCCGTGACTAAATATCGAGCGCCAGTCACTGTATTTAGTTGTTTCACCCGTGTTTAAATATTAATAATTGATCACAGTATTTTATTACATATGATTACTCATCATCATATCAGCATGATTTCTTCTTTTTCTCTCTCAATATTTTTGGAAGCATAGTTAATTTGAAAGGTATTCTGACCCACGTAAAGAATGGCAAGTGGAAACCTCAGATGTGGCCAACAAAGATTGTAGATGATTATTCATCAAATGAAGAAAAAACTTAATATTGTAAATGATCAATCGTTTCTTTTTTATTTATTATCTCTAATTAGATTCTAATAGATTATAACAACTCCTATTAAACTATCTGGCCCAGGATAGGAGGAAGGGGATACTCCTATTTTTTGGAAAACCTAATTATTCAATTTTGATAGTAATTTGTGTATTGGTAAAAATTATTCAAAATTATTGATTTTACCGACTGCAACTGCAAGTGTGGAAATAAAATTTTCAACTTTGGGATGTTTTAAGAACAAATTTCGAAATAAAAAAACAATCAGTTCGTCAATGATTGTATAGTAAGATAAAGAGATTTGTTGAGTCATGTAGACAGCGAGTGTATTTTACAATTTTTTTGGAATTTGAAAAAACGTTCTGGACTTTTGGTGTAACTTGTACTAATTCAATATTTTCTTATTTAATAATTAATAATTTAATTTTTAAAAGAGGACACCCATATATATGATTCCTGGCTCCGCCACTGATCTGACCAATCAAGCTATAGAAATTTTATTGTTATGTTTCAATTGTTTCGAAATGAGAATCCTCCTCCACACTTCTCTTAGCCTCTTCATGGAGGTGTCTACACCTTTTCAGCCAAATGTAACTCACAATCATGCACCAAATCAGCCCACAAACTCTCCCTGGCACAGAATTTCCTGCTACAATGAGGTAGACTACTGTCAGTGAATCGTTCCATGATGATCTGCATACTTCAGCAAACCCAAGTTGACTAACAACTTATTTGCAAAATTACATTGAAAAAGCAAATGGTAACCTAAGTAAAGTTAGAATACACCTCTATACATTACACAAGATCCATCTACCACCTTACCACAAACATTTATTCGATCCTTCGTTAGAATACATTCTAAAACCACAAGCAACGTTAGCATGCTAAACCGCGAAATTCAGTTTTTTCCACATAGAAAATTATACCACATCTTCTCAATATTCCTGGACCTTAATGATTCCCAAGAATATTCACCGAGTACCTTGGCATGTGATATGATCACAATTCGGGCAGGTTTCAAGTTCCAATTAATCGATCAAAGATCGATTCAAGTTAACAAGAACAAAGCTGGAAATTTTCCAAGTGTTGGAACAGTTCTGGGAACCCTACTTTGGAGGCTTGGTTCTCCCAATTGGTTTACTTCAAATGCAAGGTCAAGGGCTTGTTTTGAAGCTTGGGTGTTCCTCTACAACTTGGTGCACTTGGATCGTGGAAAGGAAGCCAGAAGGGTTGGATTGCAAGTCGTGCAAAACCCTATCCTGCAACTGGAAATCTGCCTACTTTTGACTAAGGCAGAAAGTCAGTTTGAGGTAGCAACTTTGAGCTCGAATTCACGAAGTTTGGGACACGATCAGCTGGAGCTTGGAGTTGGAAATGAAAGTGTGAAACTTTATAAACCTAGGGACGGAATTGGCTAAGCTCGACTCAACCCAGAAGGCCATTTTCCAAGAGCTAGAAGTTGGTACGAGGATTGATTTCCTGGAAAGTTGCTTGGCAGAGAAGGATATTTCTTGGATTGAAAGTTTCCATGTTTTACTTGTTTTTCTTTCCTAGTTTTGTTTGTAATTCATTTCATTGTTCTATTAGGATTATGTTAGGTTGTTCTTGGCTATAAATAGCCTCTTTCATTGATTGTAATTCACGTTTTAGTTGAATGAATAAACCTTACTCCGAGGAGTTTCCCTTGAGCTCGAGTGCTTAAGTTTGGTCTTGGATTGTGATCCTAGACTTGCAGACCTTGAGATCAATTCCATCATCATTGATCTCGTTGTGTTTCTCTACCCAAACCAGCCTCTTCCCCTACGTGTTGAAGTTGCTAGCTTGGTTCGTTTTACCCACAAAACCCTTTCCCTGTTACTACGAAACCATTACCACACCAATCCATTCATCCTAGGCTGAGTATTCTGATTAGAACCCTATCTAGGGCTCATCAGCATGAGAGCATCGTCCCATAATACCATGTTACCTTGGTTTTTTAGGTGGGGTTGTGCTACTACTTGATAAAACCTAAAATGGCGTTATCTAGCTCTCATTTGTGGGTGTTTGCTTACGGGTTAGAGCGCTGATAGAGCATTTAACTCTTGATTTGGCCTAGAAATGCTTATTCTTGTGTTTTGGTCGTGTTTTAAGTGTCATTTCAAGTTTTAAGTGTTTACGTCAAAGAATCCAAGCTCAAGTGTAGAGAAAGTGTGCAAAAAGGGTCAAAACTAGGGCTGGAAGTTTGGTATCAGTATTTGGGATATACCGAATATCTTACCGAATTTATCACTATTTGGTATTACCGAATACTGGCTTATTTTTTAGGGATTGGGGTTGGGATTCATTTTGGAGTGCTATTCGGTATTTGGGATTACGGGATTGGGATGGGTATATACCGAAATACCGAGAAATATCGAACTTTAAAAATTAATGAAATATAGCACACAACCTTTAGTCATTCCTCACTCTTTCACAACTTAGAAGCCCCCATCCAACTCAATTTTGACTTTCTAGTTTAAGTAACTCTCGTTTCTCACCTAATCTCTTGTTATTTTCATAACACCAAAAAACAAACACTAGTATTAGTCGTCTATCGGCCTCCAATTCGTCAAATTAAAGATTTCCAATGACAAAATTTTGAGATGTCACCTCTCCTTCGTTCTCATTATCCATATCCTAGTTGTAGGCAAACTCAAGACTCTTTGTTTAGTCTTTTTGCCCTAAATTAGACAATCATATTTAACTATTAATTGCAAAAGTAATTAATTTCATATTCGATAATACTGATTGGGATACCGGAATATTTAGGGATTGGGATACCGAAATTATTTAGGGACTGGGATTGGGATTGACTTTAGGGTGTAATTCAGTATTCGGGATTTCGGTATTTGGTATTGGGATACCGATACCGTACCGATTTCCACCCCTAGTCAAAACAGAATATCACAGTCAGAGGGCCGGACGAAGTTCACGGCCGAGAAGACGAAGTCTATGAAGAGTTCATGGTTGAAGCGTGAAGTTCAAGGTCGTGATCTCTAATTGTTGGAGCTGCTAACTTGAAAAAGATGCGGACAAGAACACATCATGGCCCTTTTTCTTTCTTATGTGTTTACTTTATGTTATAACAGGGCTGCTCATTAGTACAATATTGTTTGCTTTGGGCCAATCCCGCAAGGTTTTACTCTTGGGTTTCCTCCCCAAAAGGCCTCGTACTAATTGGGCTAGGTGGACACTAATATACAAGGGTCCCTTCCCTTGTATTACCGATGTGGTACTTGGATTGTACCATAACAATCCTACCCTCAAGACAAGGACCACGAACTTTGTGTTCTCCCCTCAGCGATTATCTTGATCCGCCAGACACCTTGTATCGAAGGCCTTCTCGGTATAAGGATTTTTCCCGATACAGAACTCTCTTTTTGATCTGCCAAACAGACGTGGATCTCTCTTGGATCCACCAAACAGCCCAGATGCAAAACTCTCTTTGATATGCTTCCCAAATGCGGAACTATCTTAGATCCGTCAAGCCCAAACGTGGATATCTCCTGGATCCACCAAACCAGACGCAGATCTCAAATCTCGAGGTCACCAAACGAGGGTCCACCAAACTGACGTCCACCATCCCGGATCCGCCGAACCAGGCTCTGATACCACTTGTCGAAATCGGTGCTCCATTAGTACGATATTGTCCGCTTTGGGCCAAGCCCGCACGGTATTACTCTTGGGTTTCCTCCCCAAAAGGCCTCGTACTAATGAGCTTTGTGGACACTTATATACAAGGGTCCCTTCCCTCCTTATATTGCCGATGTGGTACTTGGATTGTCCCATAACACTTTATTTCAACTTGAAGTTTGTTATAATAATTAGACCCTCGTACATACTACATAGTGTTATGTTGGTGTTCATGTTGTTTATTCTCTTTCAGTTAATTAACTCTGTTTTCTTTAATAACTCAACCCTGTTGAGTGTGTTTTGTGAATGTACCTTATTTATAGATCCATTGACTTCTCTCAATATCTCCCACTTCTTCACCATGCTTCATAATGGTAAATTCATTCCACCCTTCTCCCCGCTTGAATTGTGGGGCGTATGTTAATGATGTATGATGAATTCTTTCTTAGAGCATCGTTGTGTTTCGAAATTTCCCAAAAATTTAACTTTTTGAACACACCATAATGCATCACATTAATTCTAGCACCTAGGTCCGCCAAGGACTTTCATATGCACATGTTGACAATAAAACAAGGGATATTGAAACTCTTTGGATCTTTGCGCTTTGGAGGAAGATGGTTCTGCAGGATGGCTGAGCACTCTTCATTTAGTGTCATGGTGGTCGTTCCTTCCACGTCTTCTTGTTGGTGAGGAGGTCATTCAAGTACTTTGCATACTTGGGCATCTGGGTGAG